TCGACCGTACGGCAGCGCTTTGAGCGACTAGGAAGGTATAGGTAGCGATCTAGCGTTTTGAGCATCGTTTTCGCCAGCGCCAGCGTTTTCAGTGACTGCCCGCGTAAAGCTCAGCGCTCAAAGCGATGAACTACGCTCAAAACGCTAGATAGATATTTATAGTTTCCTAATCGCTTCTATTACTGCATCAAAGTACAAAAAGTGCTGTGAAAACTTGGAGATAAAAACCCTCCATAACCTCAGCCCATTGAATTCAAGCATCAGGTCTCCGTATTGGTGCATGCCTGCGAAGAGGAGGTATAACAAGAGTATTAGTCAGTCGACGTAATAACCCCATAGAGGCAAATGACCCGATTGGGTGATGACTTGCTGAAGGAGAAAACCAGCTCAGAAATATCCGGTACACTATGCTGATCTATCAGTTTTGCAGCCATTCAGTTCGTTCTGAGTGATGAGTTCAGTCACCTTCGTTCGGAACAGAGAATGGGTGTTTTACACGAAGGCACTGGACCCCGTATCAACACCGCTCGCGTCGAAATAGTGTTTGACAATAGTGACCGAAGGATACCTGCTGTAAGCCTACCTTTTCTTTTACTTTCCTTACTCTCAGCTTTTTGAGCACTTGATCCTTCAGATCGAAGGGACCGAGGTTCGGGTGGTACGTCAGGTTGGACACAAAAAGGATCAGTATTATATTGATGGGAAGATGGTACCTCGCGCTGAGGTAAGAGCTTTACCGTATCCTTTCGCTTTTATGCTCATGATTTGTTTTCAATGGGTTCTACTCAGGTTGTGAATCTCATGGAGTCTGCCGGTTTTTCGCGATCTAATCCATATTATATCGTCAAGCAGGGAAAGATCAATGAACTGGCTACTGCTCCGGATTCACATAGGTAATCAGAGAATTCCTCGGCTTTCCACTAAATAACTTCCAGAATTTCAAAGGTCACTGGTACTTTTCTGCCAGCTTCCCCACGTTTGGTGTTTTGTTTTTGTAAGATTCAGAGCCTTTTTGTTCAGGCTCAAATTGCTTCGAGAGGTCGCTGGTACTCGTGTATATGATGAGCGAAAGGAAGAAAGTCTCAAAATTCTGAAGGAGACACGTATGTGCAAGGAGGAGTAGCATTAGCCTCTGGGCGCATATTGGCTGAGGGGAGGGGGGGGGGGCATTTTCTACTTCGGCCGTTTCCTGTTGTCGTAGAGCCATCATGTTTAGATTACCAGCAAGTTCGTAGTAACTACTTGTCACCTTTTGTAGGTAATACCTGTCAACTTTTGTCAAGTAGTGAACCCGACAACTGGTAGCAGCGAGAGTGAAAAATGTCTCCCTTCCCTTTCCCTGCCAAACTGCGTTTGCGTCTGTCTTCCGTACGTGAACAA